CCCTTTCAGCTTTTCTCGATGCAAAGAGCTCTCAAAATGGATGTCCCAAACATGGACACTGCCATCAACATATTAATGAGCACAGGGTATGGCGCTGGCGAAATGGACATGGACAATGGGCAAGCACATTAAGCCTAAAGCCCACAGAGAGCAAATGGGCCGAGGAAAAGTGAAACACAGTTACTGCCCGCCAGCCAAGGACAACGCATTTGTTTTGGCCATCTTCCTTGATTGGTTCCAGCTCGGTGCCTGCCACAACACATTGTTGGATAAGACAGAAGGGCACAAGAAGTCCACTACTCAGGCAGTTGGCTGTGTAATACATTTAAAAATGGTGTTGAGCCGTGCTGCAGTAGAGGCATTGAACTGTTTGGCTGGAGGGGGGTGATGAGACATACTGTTAAACATTTGCACAATGTCTTGCCATTCAGTGATTCAGTTTAGCTTGTACACGCATTATGGAGTAACTACAGTATTTTCTAGAAATGAATTCACACTGGGTCAAAATTGCATTGTTGAGAGTAGGGCTGGGCGATATAGCTAAAACATTTATCAACGATATAATGTTTCATATAGTTCGGTATCGATAATTATTGATAAGTTTTTTTTTTTTTTATTTAACCACTGTATTTTTAAATTAACCCAATTTATTGAGACAAACAACTAATATTTTTTTTGTTTTAACAGTCAAACACACAATACAAATTAAACAAATATCTAATTTCTAATGTTTTATATGCAGATTAAATAGGTTATAAGGAAACTGTTGGCTTGTCTCCAGAGGCCACAAGGAGGGCGCAATGAGCAAAATAATGCAGCACATAATGTCAACGCATGGAAATAACTTTCTATAAAAAAAAAAAAACGTGCATTACGTGTAAATTAACTCATATAAATTGAATATAATTTTGTAAATTGCATAAACAATTATGAACAAAACAGTATCATGTATTTATATATTGCTTAATTCAAAAGAGCCAAATCGCCCATCACGCAGATTGCATTTAAAAACATAAGAGACGCAGGAATGTCACTTACATCATCATCACCGCATCTCGTGCTCCACTGATGACGCTCCCTGACGCACACCTAACATTCATTGTAATATTTTTGCCTTCAGATGCAATAGGCACAGCACTCATGTTCCTGTTTGTGTGTGCTGTCTGCGTCACTCATAGCACGTGCCTATATCTAACATTTTTTGTATCGTTATCGAAGAAGGTGTACCGTCGATAAATATCGATACCGGTTTATCGCCCAGGCCTAGCTGAGAGAGAGAGAAAAAAAATCACATTATTGTGTAAGTCACATTGTATTACTACAATTAGATGAGTCCTCTGCACAATGTGACTTTGCTGCAGCCTGGAATTGAACTGCTGGTTTCGTCTGGCCAGAGGAGAACTGGCCCCCCGACTGAGCCTGGTTTCTCCCAAGGTTTTTCCTCCATACTGTCACCGATGGAGTTTTGGTTCCTTGCCGCTGTCGCCTCTGGCTTGCTTAGTTGGGGACACTTAAAGGGATAGTTCACCCAAAAATGAAAATTTGATGTTTATCTGCTTACCTCCAGGGCATCCAAGATGTAGGTGACTTTATTTCTTTATTTCTTTATTTCTATTCACCACTATGTCCAACTGTCTTTGGGCGCGTGCACGGCATCCGGTGCGTGAGGTGTGTACGCGCTCCGGCGTAGTTTAAGCAAGCGCAGGAAGTCTCTCGGATCTCTCGCGCGTATACGTCACTCATTTTTACACAGTGCACAGTCATTGTAGGTACGACGGCTAATCAAAATGGTACTTACTTGTGCTTATCTGGATTGTTCAAACCGACTTCTGAGCCTGCTCGCCTGTTTCCATGTATTCCCAACTTCTGAGCCTGCTCGCCTGAAGTTATGGTTGATTGCTCTTTGGCTGGATTTTAATTTTTATTTAAAAATTTTAATTTTTGGATGAACTATCCCTTTAAAGGAGACATATTATGCCCCTTTTTACATGTCTCTGGTGTCCCCAGAATGTGTCTGTGAAGTTTCAGCTCAAAATACCACACAGATAATTTATTATATCATTTTGAAAATGCCCATTTTGAGTGGAAGTAGAAACACACTGTTTTTTGTTCCTGTCTTTTTAAATGCAAATGAGCTGCTGCTCCCCGCCCCCTTTTCCAGAATAGAGCTGCGCCATTACAGTTTGTACAGGCTAAAAACATCGGTTTTGGTTCTGATTATCATGTTTATCGTGCTGAAATCATGCGTTTTAAACCATATTAGTTTAAACTTATGATTTACGGTTTTCTGAGTGCACACGGACAGAAAGCGGCTGTCACAGCATTTGAGTACTAAACTAAGTTCTCATTCACACACAAGTTTATGTTAAAAACACACACAAGTTACAAAAACAGTCGGTTATATCTGTGAAGGTAAACAGCTGGGAAATAAATTGCATGTTTATTTTAGATCTGTGTGGCAGCAGCAATATACAGTAAATAAATCAATAAATCC